AGAGCTTTTCTTAAAATGTTTTAGCCCTGGAGCTAAGGATACTGTACAGAGCTGCCAATATTAGGAAAACAAGTCAAAAAGAAGCTCAACACACTTTTCCCCAAATACAGATCAATGGACCAGACCATTCACCTAGGAATACTGCAGAAACTGTCACACAGAAATGGCACTCAAAGACAACTGTGAACGTTGTCTTACCTTGACAAAACGTAGCATTGATCCTCTTGTAGCCTTGGGGGCATTCCATCATTGGGCTGTATCCATGGTAAGCTGGAGAAAAAAATCACATCAGTTTCAGAATATTTCAGAATATTTCAGAATATTTAAGGTGGAATGAAAAGGTGGAAAACATAGCAGTTAAATACTGCTATGTTTTAAAGCCTTCTTTGGTAGGCCTGAGAGTCAACTTATTATGTAAGTATGAAGAAGTAATAAAGGTTTTTATTATGTAAACATAATACAAGAAATGCAAAGTAAAGGCTGTACAAGCAATCTTAATTCCATCTCTTTCTGTATATGTGTCCCTGAAGTCTTCAGTTGTTCAAATTTATATTCTTGAATCAAAAGAAGAAATCCCAAAACATCCAAAACATCCAAAATCAGGACGTTGCCCCTAGTTCTCAAAGGTTTACCTTGCCAGATCTTTATCTTGCCAAAACAGTTACAAATATAACCTTGCAAAAAAATAAAGTGGAAAAAATATGATAGAAAGTCAGTGGTTTTACAACTGAAAGCAGCAGTAAAACACAAAACAGGCTGCACCATCAAGCAGAATAGTTGGGCACTGTTTCTCCTGACACAATGARTTAAAAATTATTTGAAATGTACAGGAAACAGAAGCAACAGAATTTTAAAATGAGGCAAAAAGAAAAATGGCACAAAAATGGCACATTTGTGATTTACCTATTCAAGTTTCTGAATTTTAGAAGACTCTGCAACTTACTGGCTGTTCACGGTAAAATGTCAAGGGCATGATAACACTACAAAACACAGACCGAGTTCAATTTTGCSAAAATAGAAAGTGTTTAGTTAACTACAGTTTTATTTCTATTTATTGTTTCTTTCCTCCATTTAAGGTTGCCTTTGAGACCACAGAAAACTGTTTATTGATTCCTAAATTGATATAACCTCATAAATGAGCGCAGTAACTTCTTTGTATGACTACATACTAAAAGCCAACCTTTTGGCAAAGGCCAGCACTTTATTAAACRTATAAGACTAAACTTTTGGCACCATGATCTCACAAGTGCCTTTAATAAGAGCCAGGAGAGTTTTTCATAATTTGAACACTACAACAGAGATGCCTTATATTTGGTGAGATCTTTTGTTTTCCTTTAAGAGTGTTTTAAATGTTCAGCAAGCCAAAAAAAAAGTAAAAATGCATTACTTTCCATCTTTACTGTACATAAACTATCAAGTAAGATAGAACAAACTGAGTGAGATAATGTTTGCAATTGACTTCACATATGAACTGCACATTTATCCCCACAGCTTAGTTCAACCCTCACTATGGGGGTGGAAAAAAATTAATGATTTTCAATTTTTGAAGTTTTTCCTATACTCTAGAAAAATTATGTTATCAAGTTATGATCCTGAGTGGACCTTGAATAACTTTTGGCATGCAATAGCTTTATTTTAAAACACTGCAAATTATYGTTTAAATAATTCCTTAATTATTTGGGACTCTCCCTAAAGACTGCTGCAAGTGGGTAAGTGCAAAAACAGTACAGGTAGTAAGAATGGCAGCAATGCTCTCATGCCTTTCAACACATACACCTTCCAGCTTTACACTGATAACAAGTGCTTTAACATAAACTAAAACCTGGAAATGCTGCTTGCCACCCTACCAAAGCAGCCCCATGCTTATTCTCTGGGCAACCCCAATGAGATCACAGCGTATACACCACAACTAGCTTTGATACTAGTGTATGAAATCTAAGGCGGGGTTTTTCCAGAGTGCTCTGCGTGAGCCTACTCTTGGTCCCCCGAAAGGCAATGACACTCAGGGCTCACTTTGGCAGTCTGATTGCCAATTAAATATTGAACTGATGAGATCCATGGCCCTCACACACGTGCGCTGTGTGACTGCAGGCCTGGCTCAGCACACCCTGAAACCCGGAGAGTGCAGAGCTCTCTGGTCCCACACGGACACCCCTGACCCACGTGCCACCCTCTTCCCATGCAGCGAGACCCTTTGCCCTTGCACAGAACAGGCTCTGCTGCTCTCGAGAGCACTGGGGAGCAAGGTCAGGCTTCACCATCTCCCTCCCTCCTCCTCCTGTGGTGAAGGGGAAAGARCAGCCTCCTGGTAGCTGTTTTCCTCCTTGCACAAAGAACAGCAGGGTAAGCAGGTCCCGGCAGAGCGAGGAGGTTGCTCAGTGATGGCTAGTCACCCATGTCAGAGCTGGATGCAGTCCTGCATTACTGACTCCTTACTCACTTAGACAACCTGCTTATAATCATTAACTGCTAGGAAGTAGCCAGAACAATCAAAACGTTGCTAATGTTAACATAGAAATGAAGTTTGATTTAAAAATCTTTTTTTTTTCTGCAGACATGGAGATCTGTTCCTAAATTTCTTCTTGCATTTTCCAGTAAAACTGACTAGCCTGCAAGCTTTCAGACACAGGACTCCTGTCTCGGGCCCAGGCACACGACTTTGCAGTAGGTTCTGACTGAAGTGGCTGTGAAGCAAACAAGTCCATTTGAGCAGGACACACAGTTAGGTACGTGCTTAGGTATTTGACTTAAGAGGAAAGAAGGGACATTTTACAGTGCTTGCTACTGAGACTGAAGTGCATGGTTAAATATGTTGTTGAACGGGGTTTTAYAGGTGACAACATGTTAAATACAACCTGGTTAATTTATTTATTTATTTTTATAAAAACAGGTCAACCTTTAATGAAGKTTATGAAGCATAAAACCATAAAAGCAGAAGGAAATCTGCTTGCTTCCAAAATGAGTACAATAAAAAGGATAATACCAACGTAATGAAAAAAGTGTCAAAAATGATGTGGGAATAACATGGCCAGAACTCTGCCTGCTGAGACACAACCACGGATGCCACTGAACTGATAACCTCTTAGCCATCTACTTGAATCCCCCAAGTTAGCTCTTTGATCCTGTATATTGATCTCTGTGATCTTCAATCCTGTAAAAACACATACTCTTTCCACCACTGAAATATTCTCATACTGTGAAAAATAAAAATACTCGATGAAATAYATGATGTGTCCTTAAGCAGGCAGTCCACAGTTTTACTATTTCTCATCACAAATTTATATTTATCTTTGAAAACTGTTTGCTGTACAAGAGCATAATACTGATACTTTAAGATACTTACTGCAAAGGGCACTTAGGTCCAGGTTCAAAACAGAGCTGAAAATGCAAGTTGTGTGCCTAGGTTCAAGGCACTAGATAAAAATCTCACTAAGTTTCTCTGAAATCTTTTCAGTTCTTGCAACACTCTAACTTATTACCTCAAATTACTTGAAAATTCACCATTTGCATTCATGTAGAATTGTCATATCATGGAATGGAATGACTGAGTAGTTTCATGATGCTTAACTCATTCCTAAATGAAATCTAGGCTGAGAAATTATGCATAGTTCTACCAAAGCTTCCYGAGAGGTTCCATCAGTCAATGTTTTTACAGTACATTCCAGCCAAACCATATTCTATGTAATGCAACAGAAGATGACACTGTTTTTAATCTAGAGAGAGTGCACTCATCTCCCCATCCCTTCTCAAAATGGCAATGTACAGCGCAAGTTGCCACCTAGAAAGATGAATAATGCATCTCACTATCTAGGAGGCTCAAATCCTTACTTTCCAGGAATCCCTTAGCCACAGGGCTGGATAATTCCAAGTGGCAACATTCTCTGTCTCTCCTCTTGAAATTACAAAATTACAGGCAAAAAAAAATTCCAGACTAATTGTGCCAGAAAGCATGAGTGAGCATGACTCATACCTTTGGTAATTAAGGACACTCACTGGGAAAGAGACAGGATTACCATCCCTGTTCCAAGAATCGTTGCTACATTTTACGGGTTAGGGCATCTCCTCATAGGTATAAAATGTAGACACRAAACTCTTTTGGCAGAAAAAGCATTTTTAAATTGCCCCATCTTGAGCGACTCTGCTAGCTGCTAAAGTTTATATTAAAAGGAAAGCATTCCTATCATCAGCATTTCAGAAAGATGATTCTGCTTAGTTCTTGGAAAACGAGCAATGGACTTCCCTTCAGAAAAGGTTTCTGGGCTGTGTATCCCAAGTGCGTTCAGGCAATTCTCTGCACCCTTGTTAGGCCTCTAACCTGGGGACCAGGATTTCAGACCTGGTTTGCTCCTGTGTTTCCCCAATGGCTTCCTTTTAACCACCTGCAAAGCACATCAGTGTTAGGCAGCTCTCTGATCATCAAATTGTCTATTGTGGATCTTAGGCTGAAGTTACCAGCTGACCCATCAGATTTAGTGAGCAAGCAATTTCCTCTTAGAATTTTCTTTCATGCACTTCCTGAGATTTCTGGACAAATATATGCTTCCAAAAATCAAACAATTAGCATGTTTCAACTGTTGCTCTCTGTAAGACTCTCTCAAGGGGCTAGGAGGCCCACATGATGCAACTCCATGCACTACTTTTGGCTCACTAAATGGGGGCCTATTCCCTCTACAAAACAGAGATCACATTGTTCATCTTCCTTTATCTTCTAYTTAGTGATAAAATCATCATGAGACAAGTATTACTTGTGCAACAATAATATCATTCACAAAAGTTTRAGAGACTAGCTTCAATTTTCCCACAGGACATTTCAAAGTTCTTTCTCATTACAATATGATGTCAAAACGTAACAAAACTATGAAGAAAGTCTTTATCATAGCCTAATTGTACAGGAAAGTATCTCAAAAGCAGAACAAAAAATGAAACTGAAAACTTTAGAGCCTAGAAAAGTTTGGCTTCAATCTTGAAAGCTCATCTGCAGTCTCAAGAGGTCACTGCATTCTCTCCAAGCAGTAACTGGCGCCTCTCTAATTTAACATTTCTGTGCAAATTTAAAAAAAAATAAACCAGCTAGAAGAGACAACATGATTCAGCGTCACTATCCTTCCTGCACTGAGGAACGCAACAGTGCGTCACCGGCTTAGGAGGAGGAGGAGGTGGAGGATGAAGGAAGAACAACTCCAACCACATCAGCTTTGCTGGCTGCACTGAGTGCCTGCATATTGTAACTGTTGGCAAGCAAGAGAATTCCAGCTTCTGTGACCTGTCCCTAATCACACCATGCTGCTCTTTCAGCTATGTTCCTTTATTAAAAAAAAAAAAAAAAAAAAAAAAAGAANAAGAAGAAGAAAGAAAGAAAAACACTATTTGAGGGAGGAAAAAGAAAAAACTATAAACTGATGCAGAGAACAATAACGAAATAGCACTTACACGGCTTCTTGGGACATTTCTGGCATTTGTTAAAACCCCAGGAAGTACCCACAGTTCCACAGCAGTCCTCTTGCTTTGAAAGGCCAGGAAGTGCTTTGCCACACTGGAATGGTTAAGTAAAGAACAGTCAGGTTAGTGATACTGYACGATGTTTACCTCTTGTATAATGTTTTCCTCCAGTCATCTCGGGTCAGCCTTTTGCCAGAGTAACTGAGACACTGAAGATTCACTAGAGCTCTTAGCAGAACTTAAACAGTGCCCTTGCACTGGCATGGCTCTCTGCACAGGAATGAGCAGATTAGGTTTCGAAATACGTTGCTGTCTTCACCCGCTTCAACTTGAAAAGAAGGAGAAAGAAACAGAAGAGAATAGCATGTCATAGGAATGAGTGAGTATATTTCCAAGCTAGTAATTCTCCACTGGCACAAACTCCTTACGTTTTTCCTAATAAAAATCTGTTCCTCCACTTCTGCAAAAGTTGTATAAATTATCTCAAATACCTTTCTCATTATTCTCTCAAAGAAATGGACAAAAAGTATTACCATGATTTCTATAAGGTAATTTTMTATTATTAAAAAGACCCAGCTTCTGGCCAAGCTATGTTTAATGTTTATGACCACTTAATGAAAATTGCCAAATTATAATGAAAGATTCCCCTGTCTAGATACTGAAGAGGAAAGTAACACAGACAAAAACAGACAAGATAACTGAAATGAAAGTTAGTGATGCCTGTGTTGTTCCAAATAGATGCCTTTTTTTAATGGGATGACATATGCAAATAATAAAATTAATCTTGCAGTCCTTTCTGAAATAAATATTCTTAACATTTCTTCCTGAACACTATTATTCTGGTTGCATATTTTATTAGTAAAAGCACCAACACTCAGAAGCATACAAAATACGATTTGTATTTTTAACTTCTGCATATTTTTTTTCCATTTTGCATGGTAAACAAAGTTCAAATATATTTCTCTCTGTGAAAGGCAGACATCCAAATATATGTCTAAATACGTCTATCAGGTATGAAAGAGAAGTGCACAAAATATAAGGGAAATTCTTAACAGACCCAGTTAGTAACAAATCTTCAAAGCAAATACTGATACAAACAGGCATCCCAGCAAAGATTTTACATGTGCTGAAGTGTCTTACTATGGAATGGACAGCCCCTCACTGACTGAACTTCCCTTTCTGCCCRTGTATACAAACTTCTGACCCAAATGCTTACTGCTGCTCATCTTCCAGCTCAAGAGAGAGGGTTCATCTCATGGCCCAGGCTACGGGGGTTGCTTTCACATGAGTCAGGATGGCTGCCGAATGCACAGGCACTGAGATAGCTTCCTCTGACCAGGGTGCTTCTAATCATATTGACACTCATGGGTTAGCCAACTTCCCCAAGAGCAAACCTATCCCATGTAGTTTCACATGTAGGATACACCACAGTCTCACAGCTCTGACTCATCAAACGGTCCTGTTCTGCATCAAAAAGGCAAGGTATCATCCCAGCCATCTTCTCTGCTCATTTTCACAGATGATCCCCAGGCACCTTCCGAAACATTTCGGCTGTCAACCAACCAACCAACAGCAAACTAAAGGCAACAGCAGGTCTCCATTTGAACATCAAATGTTTGTTTGTTGCAGCCTGCAGCAGCTCAGCATTTGCTGCATGCAAAGTTCAGGTATCTGCTGAACGAGGGGTGTGCGAGTGGCTGGGGATAACAAGCTCATCCCCAGCCACCCTTCCTCACAAAACAGAGCTCTTGGCATCAGGGAAACTTACATTAAGGTATGTCTCCACACATCGGCTCCATATGGGACAGCAACATTTGCGCTAGAAGTCATGCTTCAGGGTGACATAGGAAAGTCTTAACAGCAGGAAGAGTGCACTGGCCAAACAGGTTAAAGGAACTGCTCAGTTATCATGTAGCTGTAGGAGTCTATTTTCACACTATCAGCTGCAGAGGGTGTTGTGCCAAATTCTCCATGTTCCGAGGCAGCAAGTGGGGTGAGGACACAGCCCAGGCCTGGATGGCAGTTTGCTGCTTTAAAACACTGAAGTAAGCTAGTAAGTCCCACCATACAAGCACGGCACACTGTGTGAGCAAACACCTTCCCGTCTGTCCYGCACCCCACTGGCCTGGAGCACGAGTGGGATTAGCTTGTGATTGATCACTCAGGCTATGCTCTGCTCTGTTTTCCAAAGCAGCTCTCAGCCTTGGGAAGCGGGTTTGAGCTGGTGTTTCTGCCAGGTGCCCACAGACGTGCTGTCCATACATACATGGGCAGACAGTAGCACGGCGATCCTGGCACCTGACGAAGGCAGCTCGAGTGCAGGAATAGGGCATCCTGCACAACCCCACGCTCCTGGAGCAGTTCAGCTGCTTCCAGAACAGGATCYGTTTCACCTGTCTCTAACAAGATGATATACAGTGACTGTGCTACACCTTCCTGTAGGAAGCCCCACGTCTTTCAACTGAAGAGAATGCATAAGGACTCCAAGGGACTGCCCKAAAAAGCTGCAGAAGTCTTTCCATTTCTTTACATATCATGAGGTTTCTCAACTTCATGACCACATTCCAAGCACTCTTTAGTTCAAAGTAAAGGTGTTTGTCTCCTTTCCTAGAACTGCTACCAAAGAAAGAGCTGCCATGTACTGAAGTTGTATAGTGCAATGGCTGGTGAGAGTGGAGCGAACTCAGCTTCCCTCTCCCYGCAGAGGCCTTCCCTCGTGCCTCAGTTTTACACCTCCTCCGTCCCGGAGAACACATGGGAGGAAGGTAGGCCAAGGCACCTCCCCTCAGGATCTCGGGCGCGGAGCATGTGGGCCGTGAGGCTCCTTAGGTAGCGCCCCACAGCACTGCCGCTCCATGAGCCCACAGGCCTTGAAGATGCGGCCTAAGCGGCAGGACCCCAGCACCACAAGGGCCAATACGCCATCGGTAGCTGCCCCCACTGCCCTTTTGTTTCCCCTTTTCCTCCAGAACAGAAAAAGGATAATTTGCAAGTGGTAAATGAAAACCACAACAAAACAAAATTAAGGAAAAATAGGAAGACGARGGACTACCGCCCGTTTTGACTTTAGGTGTGGTGCGACAGCATTTGCACTGTACTGAAAATCATGATCTCTGTGGTCATAACTTCTTCAAATTTCCATATAAAAACCATGAGCAAAAGTAAGGATGCCAAAGTCTGAGTCATCTGGCAACTCTGGTTTGTAGCCTTGTCAGTAAATACTGGCAGCAATTAAAGCTGTTGCTCCCATTGCCTCTACAGTAAATTAAAACTTGGAGAATCAGTGATAATTTGGTTGATGTCCAGATCATTGTAAGAACTGGCCAACAAGGAAAAACAACTACCACATGAGGCTCCTTCTGGTGCCTTAGATCTTGTGATTCTGGAGCTGTGCATCAGATAAAAATGACTGCTTTGTAAAGTCCCAAGTCAAGCAGAACAGYACATTCTTCAATGGCTAATAAACCCCGATTTCTCAGGTACATCTAACAGTGCTTCAGATTCTTTCAGTGCTCATGGCAGTGCACAACCTGTTTCATAGCCAGCCACACTTTCCTAAGGTGCTCCTCATTCACACACTGTAAGCACCAATGAACTGAAGCTCTGTTTCCACCAGCCTCAAAAACTTCGAGGCTATTTCTGTCCTCTTTACAAGCCTGACCCTTTCTACTGCTGCAGAGCTCTTTARCTCTCTAGCCAGTCTATTCCAGGCCCAGAGTCGCAAGTGAGCGGACAAGTCACTGGGGTGAACCCGTAACTATTTTTAGTTTGTCTCACCATTCAAAACACCGCGGATACGCAAGTGCAAGCCTAAAATAAGTGGTGAGGCCTAAACACACGCATGCCGATTCTGTTAGGGAAATGATGCTGCTGTGCTCGAAGATGAGGCCATTCTCCTTAGGCTCCCACTTTTCTATCCATCATCCACACACATTTTAAACTAATCCATCCGTGTATTCCTGAGGGCTTCTGGAAAACTTCTCATAGACAGAAAACAGATTTCCATGAATGATGCATCAGTCACAAGCTTATGATTTGAAGACAATTCTGATTGCTTCAGAAGGGAAAGAGGTCAGGAAGGATTGGTATAAAAGCTGAACTGTGCTGAAAGTGGCTCAGCAGCAGCAGCAGTATGAGGCACACATGGTACTGCTATAAAACAAAGTCCTTCCTGGGTAAAGCACTCACAGACACTGAAAGTATTGTTTTGAGTCCACATATTTTCCCCATGCGTGCCTGGGCTTCTATGCCAATATTTTATATAACTGAAGGAGTACTGAATATTCCCAGTGGTAGCCTGAATTTCTGGCTGACCCTGTGCTGGTGCACAAAGGCCACCCCCAAGCCACATCACCTCTTTGCTCCTCTGCCCAGGCTCAAGCCTTCATCCCATCTTYGCACAGGGTTAAGATGTTTTCAGATGCCAGGGAAAAGGCAGGATTGTGCCCTCGAAATCCTTCTGTTAAGGCATTAGGAGAAGGAATATATTCAGCTCCCTGTTAGAAAGCGCAGCAGAGAGCCCAGCCTGGCGAGCAGCCTCAGGGCAACTGCGAAAGAGCCTGGCGCAGTGACAGGGGCATTTCCTGGGACTCCTGCTCCGAGGTGACCTACCTACAGATCCCTGTTCCGGGCTACTACTTCAAGCCATAATATCGGCATAAATAAAASAGGGTCACATGAGCAACTATGATGGAAATGGATGGGTGCTTTGCCTGAGCTAGTAGCTAACGACTCTGGGATTCAGCTCAAAAGGCTGCATTTCACATACCACAATAGCACAAGTGAATGGATACACTGTTTAGCTCGCTGTAAACTGTTCAGCAGGCACAGACCTGGGATTGGGTTTTTTTTTTTTTTCCTCCCTTCTTCTGTAGGCTCTACAAACAGAGGAAGAAAGCAAGAAACATATTTAATAAAGCTCATTACTGAGGCAATTAGCAACCCCAGGTGATCACTCTGCTGAGCAGGGGAATGACAGGTTGCTACAAATGGAGAGCCCAGCCAGGGCAGCACTGGCTCCCTAACAGGCATTGTCTCATACGCAGAGGAGAGGAGCTTAAATACTTCCAGACTTTCTAAAAGAACTGGTAAAGA